GAGCGCGGTGGCCGCGCGTCATCGCCGCCCCCGCTCGCCCGCAGCCCCCGCCCTCGGCGCCCAGCGCGACTGTGACGCCCCCGCCCCGCCGGCCCCGCCCGGCCGGAGGCCCGAGCCCACCGACGTGAACAAAGGCGCAGTTTCACGTGGCCGCGGGAGACAGGGCCGAAATAATAAAAAAGGGCATTGAGGCTTCCTAAAACCCCCGGGATTTACTGGTGTAAGCGCGGGCACATCGCCGCGAGGCCACGCTCCGGCCACAGCGCGGACCCCCGCCCCAGCCCCCACCGCAGGCCGAGCCTCGTCCCAGCTCCTTCTAGCAGCTTCCAAAGCTGCTGTTAACGTCAGTTCTTTTCACTGGGAAAACGTGAGGACGATTCTTGCTGCCATTAGGAAAATGGTTCCCTCTTCTCTGATTCTGTTTAAAATAACAATCTTTGCATAATTTGGGGCTAACCACCTGGAGGGCTTATTTGTGAATAACGCTCTAAATCATCACTGCATGCATGGGTTACAGCCTTGCAAGGCACAGTCTTGAGTCATGCTTAAACATATTTCTAGCATGGATGAAAAACAAACACTGCAGAAATATGACTCCTTTCAGCAGATCTAGTTAAGATCTGGTCCCCACCGTGGACCCCGAGAGTGGGAGATAGACCTTCATGGAAATTTACAAAGCTGCATCAAAATCCATCATCTTTGAAAACGCTCTTGAAATCTTAGAGAAAGGGGCTGATAAAAACACTTAACAAGGGAAGAAATGTCCACTTGGGAAAGGCAGTGATGATGTCTATTGTTAAGACACCTTTCGAGAGAGCTCTGTAAGAAACCCATCTGTGTTTTTCCATTAATTCACCCGGAGATGAGGCTGAGCGTTCAAGTAAACAGGAAGCTTACATGTGGTGGTCAAATCACAAACACTCAACACCTACGAACAACAATTAAATACAAACAGGAGCTAAAGTGATGCGGGGGTGGGGGCGGGGGCAGGGAGGGAATGCTAGACAGAAAGGCTAGGGAAACCAGAACAATCTTAGAAAATTTTCAGTTGTTACAAAAAATAAAACATAAGCTTTAAAAATCATTTTTGCAGAGAAATTACAGCCATAAAAAATCTGTGTATTGTAAAGGCATTCATATTAAATTACAGAAAAATTTTAGCATATAAACTGAGATGGTAAAGGTTAGATTATTTACCAAAGAGCCCCCATGTTGTCCGCAAGCACGTTGTGATTGAACATGCAGACCCTACAGATCACGACGCAAACTGAAGCTCATTTTTTTTCCTTAATGGAAAATTAAGCTCTGCATGAAATAGAAGATTCCAGTTGAATAATTCTACTTGCTGCTAGATCAACAGATTTTAACAACATGACAATCTCAATTTCTAGGCAATAAAAAAAAATTAAAAATTGCTTGTTACTGAAGCAAAACAATATCTCCATCTATTTATTTTAGGCAAATATTAAACACAAGAAGGATTTTTTTTTTAATATGTAGCCCCCAATTTATTAACTCACTCTTTGCTGAAGTTGCCTAAATGCTACCCTGGGTTATAATTTAAAATGCTCACACATGTACCTTATTTTCTTTGGCACAGTATAGATTCCTTCCTTTCTTTTTAAAGAATCAGTTCAATGGAATTTGGGAAGGGGGCGGGGGAACATCCTGTATACCAGGAAATTCAATACATAGCTTCAGAAATCTTATTTTAAAAAAAGAAAGAAAGAAAAGACAGACAAGAAAAAGATCAAAGGGAAGAATAGAAATAGCTTGGATGCCCTTGGCAGCTAGCTCCTGAACCCCAACTGGGCTGTTCCTTCCTTCCCTTATTCCTACCTTGGAGAACACAAAAACAGGAACAAGAAAAATAACGTGAGCATACGTGCATGCAGAACTTAATGAAATGTTTACAAAATCTTAAATCAATGAAAAATCTTTTAATTAATGAAAAACCTGGTTAAATTCTAGAGCGTCTTTCTCTTAGTCTAAATTTTAAAAGCATCAAGTCTAAGTGCTGTGTACTTAAGTCAATTTGAAGAGTACATAATTTAACCTCCAAAATCACTGGTGGGAAGAACTTGTGGCCAAGTTCTGATGAGAACTATGTTTTCCTATTTTTCGTTAAGATTCTAAAGCATTAGATAAAAAGTCAATATCCATGCATCTCAATTATCAGTTTCCCTCCCAAGTTCTTAAGCGCATGACACCATATCCATATAAAAATGAAAGATCTCTCAGCTCTTTGCCTCTATCAAAGGCCAACACATGTCTTTAGAGATACAGTTCCTACCAAAAGGGGAGGGGTGAGTATCTGAGCAAAAGTTCCAAGTACAGTTTATAACAAAAGCACAACATTAGAAAGACTGCCATAAATCATTCTTTAACAGTTTCTTTATCACATTTTTCGAAAGTAAACAAATTGGACTATATTTGTAGCAACTCAAAGTGGAGCATAAATTTAAATGATGTTATTTGTTCAGCTCACTGATAGGGGCTAATATTACATTAACGTATTTTTCTTCCTGTCAAGAGTTATTTACACATGTACAGTATTTCAGTTAAAAATAAAACACCATAAACTATATGTTATAAGAAAGCATAAGGGAAGCAAATATGCAAGTCTATTAAAGACTGAAAAGCTTCTAATAAACTACTTTATTTGAGGGGGAGGACTTCAAATGATACAGTCTGTCACAAAGAAACAAATTGGCGGCAGGTAATGTGATGGCACAGAGAACTCAACACCCAGGCAGCTGCCTGGGCCTGCGACCTTTCTGCAGACTGTTACCACGCAGGCTTGCAGAGATGTGGAAGCACAGAGCAGGCCCAGCCTTCCGGAATAAACCCCCATGGGGGTTCTGTCCTTGAGGGCTGCAGGTGGGAAAGGGGCCAATCCAGTGCACGGTGGGAAAGGTTCAGAGATCTTTTCTCCCTCAGCGGGTACAATACAGTAAGTTCCCCTTCAAGTTATGATAAGCAACACATGCCAAGCATGAAACGATCAGACTGCAATTCACCACGGAGTACTTATTTCTGTTTTTCTAGTACAGTCGTGTCTGTAATATTCCGCCGCTTTGGTTCTAGGGTGGCAAAAAAGGAAACATCTTGGTCCCGGTCAGACTGCAAAGTTAATATGGTCTCTTCTACGACTTCAAGATGAGGGTTACCGGCATTTCTAAAATAGGCTAAAGAGAGAAACCATGAGCCTGAATCACACGTGCCATGAACTGTGTTCAAAAACACACTCTGGTTTTGTTTTTTGTTAACCACATGTCAGGACAGTAAATCATTTTTCATGGACAATCACATACATATGTCCTTTCAAATGGCAAAATATCTTACTTAAAGAGTATTTCTTAAATTTTAAAGATGATCTCCAATAGTTATCCATATTTTAAAAATTATAATAACTAAAAAATTAACTTTTACCTTTTAATTCCTACAACACAAAAGAAATGGCAATGTGCAGAACACAAGAGGAGGAGCAGGTGGCTGGAAGGGTGGGGCAGGGGGCGAAGTGGCAAGAAAGGCACATGCAGGGCAGAGCTGAAGACATTTTCCTACATCTGTGGTGTAGAAAGAAACTATCCAAGGGACATAGAGCTTATGTTAAGTCCTATTCAGGTTTAAATAACCGACTAGGTTGGGTTGTAACTGTTTCTGTACCGACTACAAAATAATACCATTAAAACTTAATAGCAGTTCGGCTTAAGTTTGCTACCTTTCATAATCTATCATGTCACAACTCAAAATCGACAAAAGTTTCCCTCGTTTCCAGAAGGTGTATTTTAGTATCTGGTCAGTAAATCTGAAGACTGAATTACATCATTTCCTTAGTCATTTTATAAATAACATAAATTTACGCATAAAAAACTAATATACTAATTTACATAATACATCTTAAGTATGTTACCACACAACTTGCCACAATTTCCTAAAGGAAATCCACTTGCTACCATCAACAACTGATGGGTTTATGGAGAACGTAAGATGAGAAAGCTGCTCCACACACCCTTTTGCAACAGCGTCTGCCGCAGAGCCTTGGCCAGCAGCACCCTCACGTTGGGCACAGGGTCTGACGCGAGGCTCAAAAGGCTGGGAAGCAAGTGCTCAACAAACTGGTCCACGGGGACACACTCCTCGCTCACCACTGCCTGTGACAAAAAAGCAACGTTTTTCAACAGTTTCTAAAAACATACTTTTTTAATTCCAAAGAAGTAATTTCACAATCTACGGGTTTGAGGTATGTGTGTGAGAATTTTTAAATCCCCGCACTGAATACAGTTAGAAACACAATCAGTATTTTATTGTAATTTGCTACTAAGCACTGGGTTATAGGTAGTATAAGATTTGGTGGGGAAACCACAGGCTTTGGAGCCAGACAGGTCTAGGGGCAAAGCCTAACTTGATCACTCACTAGCTATGTAGCCTCAAGTAAGTGACTTAATCTTTGATTGATTTATTTAATTTTTTTTTTTTTTTAAGAGACAGGGTGTCTCACTACGTTGCCAAGGCTGGTCTTGAACTCCTGGCCTCAAGCGATCCTCCCATCTCAGCCTCCCAAAGTGCTGGGAATACAGGCATGAGCCACTGTGCCCAGCCAGCTTAACCCGAGCCTCAGTTTCCTTATGTGTACAATGGCAGGTCCTTTATCCATCTATCACAGTGCTGCCAAACCGCACACAGCTGGCCAATAAGGGTTAAGAACCCTCACCTGCTACTCACTGGCATGCAGGCTCTGAGGGCAGTGGCCATGGCTGTCCAGTAACAGCCAAGTCCTGAACCCTAACCCAACGCCCAGACCTCTGTCAATGACTAGGAAACACTGCTCATGCAAGAATCTGCAGCATCTGCACACTGCTTCTGCACTTACAAAGAGTTTTACATGTCTTCTCTCATTTAATTCTCAAAACTAGCCTTGGAAATCAAAATTACCCTTGTTTATTAACAAGTGAGAGAATTCTGGTCCAATGTAGTGATGAAAACCTAAGGTCTCATGACCAACAAGTGGCAGCAGAGAGTTAACTATAAGCCAGGCGTGTGGATTCTAACTCCTGTGGCTCTCCTGCTACAGGGTGACTCGTGTCACGGTGGTGGGCACTGTGTCAACGACACTGATATTCCCCAAGTGTCTTCCTTCTGGGTGCCAGGCACCACCTAGGCAACTCAGATGCATCAGCCCACTGAAGCGTCACAACAGCACTAGACGGCAGGTACACAGCACTGTCCCCACTTGACAGAGTGCAGAGGTTATTCTGCCCAAGGCCACTCTCAGGAAAGTGCTGGAATCAGGCTTCAAAGCAGGTCATTTTGACTCCAAATCAGTCCTCTTAACCTTTTCAAGTTAGTCTTTTCCTTCTGTTTATTACATATTTTCTAAATCTCAGATAAAGAATTAAAAAAATAAAAGCAAAAAAATATTTCATTTACACTTTCTCTGCAAAATGATCTGGAACAGTGAATTTTTTCTTCACCAAAGGATGTGCTGTCAAGCCTATGGTGAGTTTGGTATTTACTCTGCCATCCACGGCACTTCTCAAAGTGGATGGCCAAAGTGCCCCTGTAATGCCTGCTCCAGCCCAACAGGGGGTGGTGGCAAGTCCTTTATTGGAGGTGGTTATGAGGGACAGAAAGTGGGCTTTGTGGTCAGGGGTCAGGTATAACCAAACCATGGCTTTACTGTACCATCAGCAAAGCTGGGCAATGGGTTTACATTATACTATTCCCTCCACCTTTGTATATGCTTGAAAATGTGCATGACAAAAAGTTAAAACGTTTAAAATAACACTTTAGCAGGAAAAAAAATCATGGTTTTATACTTCCTGCATGATCTTGCACAAGTTACTTAAACCCTCTGGGCTTTGAATGCTTGATCTAAAGAACTGGTCTGAGGGTAAATGGGGATACCAGGCTCAATACATGTAGCAGCTCTTAGTAGAGAATCAGCTGTGTGGTGAGATGCCTGGCACACAAGGCATTTAAGAAATGGCAGCCATTATCATTGCCACTGTCCCCAGCCAAACATAAATCATACCTCATTTCCAAGATGCTAAGTAGAAAGGATGATCTGAGGAGCTGGACAGACTGACACGAACATCACACATTTACTCCAAAGAGGTTTTATAATCCCTGCTCTAACCTGCTGCTCTGTTCTTCACCCCACTTTCCCTCCGAGGCAGCTGGCTAAGGTGAGGTGCAGTGGTAGACACAGCCCTGGACTGTGGGCCCGGCCCTCATCTTACCCGATGGCGGTGCAGGGAGAGTAGGGTCTTGTGCACTCTCTGTCTTCAGCATCCAGAGTATATCTGGCATACGGTACTTACTTGATCAACATCTGGTGAACCTGACATTATCCCATGGCAAATGTATACCCAGGGTAGATTCTCCCTGCAGGTGTTGCTAACCTGACAAATGAAAGCGAAAGCTTGTCTTCCAACCCACTTAGAACAGTGCCGGAACCTCATGATGAGTTCATTGATGAAATTTAACCCCAGTGCGTTTTCACTGTTTGAGTAGAACTTCTGCAAAATTGCCACAACCTGTGAAAAATATCAGAAGAGCAAATTTAAAATGCTGCCATCTATTTGAATTATGAATACTACTTTACATGGAAACTAGACATTTTTATGTACCCTTCCATCTTTAAAATGTATTTATAAGCATGGGAGAAAGTAATTTTTGTCACAGTCATCATTAGAACACAGAGAAAAAAGATGTTTAAATGTATGGCAATCTATATACACAAAATCCTTCATAAAAATGCAAGCAAAAAGGGGACTGGCATTAGAAAAATATATTACTAATGTTAAGGTTCCAAATTTTAGAATATGCCCCCTTGCATAATAACTAAATCATTACCTTTCAGAACATGTCATTTTTATAAAATTTTAATACTATCAGAGTATCTTAAAATCAGTATTTGCAAATGTGATTTTTGTCATCAGTATTCAGCTGGTATAAGCCCATATAAAACAGGATCGGCTTTTCTGTACTGGACTCTTTGCTCACTAAATACTTTTCTACAAAACCAAGCTACAGAGAAAACCCAACTTGTATTTTAAAAAACACTAAGCTATTTTTTAAAGAAGGCTTAAAGGGTTTTTAAAAAGGTTTTTAAAAATATATAAAATGATTTATACACAATTGCCATCACTGAAGCATACAATTTAACAAAAAAGCTATACTGAAAATTGATAAAACTATAAAACAGTTCCTAATTTCAAAATTTAAAAGATGGTTTCAAAAGTAAGCTGGCAAATTAAGCCCAGTAAAGATAAAGGAGTTAAAATGGAAAACAAACATTTCTATTGGCAACAATCACAAACAGAAAAGGCCATGATTCTTACTAGTTTGAAGGAGATCCACCGAACTTCAGAAACTTTATCTGCACACAACTTTAAGGCAATATGCATTAAGTAATCATAAACATCATTGGGATTATAGAGTTCCAAAATCAGTATCAGCTGTCTGAAATTAAAAACAAAAAATTATTTGACGGTCAAAAACCACTTTATTAATTTCTCTTTACTCTCATTTCATTTTACAGATAAAAATAGGCTGGGAAATGAAAGGCAACAAGGACCTAGCAAAGGTTCGGTCAGTAAAATGCCAACAGCAGAAAGCTGAGTGAAATGACCATGCAAAGAAAAACAAA